CGGGCCTCTCACTGTTGTGGCCTCTCCCGTTGCGGAGCACAGGCTCCGGACGCGCAGGCCCAGCGGCCATGGCTCACGGACCCAGCCGCTCCGTGGCACGTGGTATCTCCCCGGACCGGGGCACGAACCCGCGTCCCCTGCAACGGCAGGCGGACCCTCAACCACTGCGCCACCAGGGAAGCCCTGCTTTGCTTTTTTAAAAATTTAATCGAGAGCCCTCCCAAGCCTCAAGTAATAATAGGAAGGGAGAAAAGAGAGAAGTTAAACAGCTGCCCCTAAATGCTGGCAAACATTTCATCCTGTGGCACTCCCAAGGAATACTAACACATGATTAATCATAAACTGTGACATCTCACCCTCCTGGGGATCCCACACTGGCCATCTTCCCTTCACTCTCTCCCCACATCTTAAAATCAATGCATAAGGGCCCTCTCCCTGCCTCGATTTGGAGAAGAATCATTCTCATTGTGATCGTTATGCATGGGAACAAAAGAACATATAGATCAAAGGTTTAGGGTCCTCAGCCCCGCCAGGATCACATGACCACCCAGCTCAGAGGCGGCAACAGTCAACTGAAGTGCTGGTTGGAAGCTTCTGGCCTTCTATGGAGAGTCCCTGTGGTTACCTAGAAACAGTCCACTCACATCATTTACATTGTTTTGCACTGTGCTGCCAGCAGTCCTTTGGGAGATTCTATATTTAACCATTTCAAATTGTACCCTTAACCTTAATGAAAGCATCCTTTTTTTCTCTCTCTCTGAAACATACAACCCTGCACCCCTCCAGTCCCCAAATTCGTTTTGGTTTTCCTTTGGAATTTTAGAATCAGTTTGCCCAGTTCTCACACCAAAAAATCCTTTTGGTGGTCTGTTGTTATCATGTTTAAATGTATAGGTTATTTACAGATTGACATTTTTAAATGTTAAGGCTTCTTTAATCATAATCATAATCATAATTCACACATGATTTCATTTACTCAAGTCTTTCTGTTCTGCCCTCAGAAGTATTTCTGTGTTCTTCACATAGCTCTTGTATATTTTTTATTGAATTTATTGAATTGGATTGCTATTATTAATGGCACCTTACATTATCTTTTTCTAACTGCTGTTGTCTGTATATAATGACCGCCTAATAATTTTAATATGGCTGAAGCAGCTGTCTTGCTTTACAAAAGGGAAAGGAGGGCTTTGGTCTGCTCTTATGCCTGCTTTTAAAAATTGAAATGGGGAAGAGTTTGAATGTGGTGAGCCAGAGGTCACAGGAGGGACAAACTTGGGGTAAGTTCATCAAAGCTCTGCAGCTGTAAGCATCGGGCAGGAAATAAGGAGAGATGCTCTTTGAAGTTGTAAGAAAACCATGGAGCTGGGAGGGCAGCTGTGGTCCCCAAGCCTCCAAGACCAGAAACATTCTCATCTCCTTTCAAGTCGTTGTCATCGAAGGACATCACACATACCCTCTTGCTTACGCGTCAGGGATGCGAGCACTGTATTTTGTTCTCCTCATCAGATAATTCTCCCTTCTACAACTACACATTTCGTGCTTATTTCTTTTTATGTGGCTCCCAGCTGAAATGGAGTTTCTGATCACCATTTTGTGTAAGTGCCCTGTAAGACTGAATCCCTTTGGGGAATTCCCTGGCAGGCCACTGCAGGGGGGCCAAGTTCGATCCCTGGTCGGGGAATTAAGATCCCTCAAATCTTGCATTCCTATCTTTAGGGGGTGGTCTCAAGCTACTCTGAGCTTCCTTTCCTTGGCCAAGATGAATTTTATCTAATGGTCAGTGTTACTCAGAATGTGATTCATAAACGTGGCATGAGACTATGGTCAATCTGAACGTTTTGCCAATTGTGTGAAGAATGTACAGAATAGGTAAAAGATAGTTTACATTTTCTAGGGGCTGGTCAAGGAGGAAAAAGTTCAGGAGATCTTCAGTATCTGTAAGGTTGTTGCATTTACCATTATTTTAAAGGAGAGGAGGTGAGAAAAACAGAAGGTCAGCCAAAAACCCTTATATCTGGTGGTGGCTTAAATGTCTCATGGGTTCAGCCCTGTAATATAAATGAATAAAGTCAATTTATAAGACGTGCAGCAGCAGTGGGAAAACCCAAGAAAATATATCTAATCTAAAGAGGTCAGCCAATATTCAGCATCAGCCAGTTGTTGCAATGTGGAAAGATGTGTCCAATGTCATTAGATCTAATTTTACAAGAGAATTCAGAAATCTGGCTTTTTATATGAAATTATCTAATTTTTAAATGCTAGTAACAAATCCCAATTGGGAGGGAGGGAGGAAGAGTGGGAAAATGAGAGAACTGCATGCAGGCCAAACAGAGCAATGATAGGACCCAGGGTTTGTCAGTGTGTGATTTTTCCCTTACGCAGACTTGTTCTTGTCTTTCCCCAACAATTCAAGATGTTTTTAGGAACCAACTTCAAGGTATACTCAGAACTAGATCAAATGCAGTCAAAATTTCCATTGTCCTGCCAGTTCTTTAAATCTAGCCGTACAGTTTTTATTGAGCACCTAACACATGCAAAGTCTATCATTTCATCTTATTTAAAATGAAATATGTTAACAATTAATTACATGAAACAGAGAGATGACTTCCATAATGGTCCAAATGACTCTGAGATATGTACTTACATTTTAGCTTTTTTAAAAACTACGATCAAATACAAAGAGAATTGTTTTTTAAAACCTACTGGAGCACTCAACTTTTATAATTCACTTCTGAATTTGGAAGGTTAATAGGAAAGTTTCAGAACACTAGGCATCACTCTGTTTAAAAGCAGCACTTCTAAAAGAATTCAAAGGCAATCATGCTGAAAACCTTTTCACTGGAGTCAATTTTGAGCTCTGAATGGCTTCGATCCCTATAGGGATCATCTATGACAGGAGAGAGCACCCAAGTTCATACTAATTCCTAAAGAGAAAAAAAGTTGGTAATCTTGTCAGCTGAGTAGGTGAGATGGCACTGAAAATTCAACCTGGCTCAGGTTATCAGCTGCTCATGAGTATATTTTAATAGAAATGTGTTAAACAGTGTACATTGTATCCTGCTTCCCATACGAGAGTCACATCATTTTAGTCAATTTTTCCCACTCATTTTTTCAGCCTCTCTCTGTACCCGTCTCTCTCCCCAGTCTACAGTTTTTGCACATTTAGGGTATATGCTTACTTCTGTTTCTACTAGTTCTTCTGCTCTTAATCAGGGTCGACTCTTTATAATTTTTAACTTCCCTGCTGTCTCAGAGACTCTCCATAGCCTTTATACTCTCATCCCAAGCCCCACCTCCACCCCCCAGACCCATTCTAGAACCTGGACTCTTCCCCACTCTCTGTCGAGCATCTCGTGGCCTAGGATGCCCTCAGCTTCTCCTCCCGGGCTGCGCACAGATCCTCTCCCTCCCTCTCCCCTTCCCTCCCCAGGCCCGCACCCTCAGCCATTCCAGAAATTGACAAAGAAGTTGCAGAGGGAATGCCACTTCTCAGCACAGTAGGTCTCCGTGAGCTTCGCGTTCTCGTTCAGCTCGTCGGGATCGGGCCGGGTCCCCAGAGATCGCTCCTCGTCTGGGTTCCAGGCAGCCTTTCTCTTGCCTCCTTTGGTCTTCTTCTCAGAGGGCTTCACTTTGGGCGGCGCGTTCTGGGGAGGCGGGGCCCCTGCGGTGGGGCTGCGCGCGGCCTCTCGGGGCTGCCCCCGGCTCCTGGCCCGGAGCTTGGGATCCCGGTGAAAGGCCGCCCCAGTAGGGCTGACGAATGGGGATGCATGGGGCACCAGGCGCAGCTCCGCGCCCTGGCCCTTCTTGCCCGCGCACAGGCGGGCCTTGAGTGGCGCGGGGTCGTGGCAGGGCCGCCGCTTCCTGCGCAGCCCACCCAGCACCTGCTTCCAGTAGTGCGAGCGGCTGGCGGCATAGACCGGGCAGCGCCCCGGCTCCCCGCGGTAGGCACACTGGTGGCGCGCCCCGTCCGGGGCCTGGCAGCGCAGCGCCAGCTCGCTGCCCGCTGCGGGCCCTTGGGCGGGCGGCAGGAGCTGCCAGCTGCACGCATGCCGCTCGGGGCTGACGAAGCGACCGGAGGAGCCGCCCGCGGGGCCCGGGGCCGACTCGACCGCGCTGCCGGCCGCCCCCTGGTTTCTCCCGGCGCCCTCGAGGAGGTAGCCACCCAGCAGCAGCAGCGAGAGAGACGCTCGCAGCCTCAGAGGACTCATGGCTCGTGGTGTCTGCACTCAGGTCGGCTTTCCAGGGACCCCTGAGCGCTTCAGTGGTATCAGGGCCAGGATAGCAGCATCCCTTAGACCTGGGGACAGAGGTAGAGACGGCTACTGAGTCGGGCGCAGCCCTTGGCCCAAGCACAGGCACCTGCCAATTCCCCTCCCCAGACTTTCTGGGCGTCGGTTTACAGTGGGCAGCAGCAGTTTGCGAGTGACTCTTCTGAAGAGGTTTCCTGGGAGAAAGCCAATTATTGTCTAATCTCTTTGAAACTATTTGCGCATTGAGGTTTTTCTCCCCATTGCAAATATGATAGCAAAGCGATGCCTGATAATTACCACCCCCACCCCTTCCTCCATCCCCTCCCTTCTCCACCCTCCAGTAAATCATCTACAATGTCATTTCAGATTATTCTTTGGAAAAACGCACTTTTACTGCACTTTGAACTTACCGAGTTCTGGGCGAGGTGGCGGAGCCTTGTTAAGGTAGAGGGAATGACTGCAAGAAGGATTAGTCTGTTTTAGCCGGCTCCCAGTGAATGAACGTGTTATCAATGGAACAGAACAGGCCTCCCCGACTATGCCCCTCCCAGACTTCTCTCTCTCTCCCTGGGAGACTTCCCACCACCGTGCCACACACACACACACGGACACACAGACACACAGATGTATGATAGAAGTGGCAATGTAACATGAAATATCTTTTTTGCTTCCAGTGTTTAAAATAATCACGCGAATTTTAACAAATCATTCTTTTCTTTCCTTTTACATATTTTACTTGAATTTTATTTATTTTAATTGAATTATAGTTGATTTACAGTATTGTGTTAGTTTCAGATATACAGCAAAGTAACTCAGTTATACATATATATGTATATATATATATTTCTTTTTAAAAAATTCTTTTCCATTATAGTTTATTACAAGATACTGAATATAGTTCCCTGTGCTCCACAGTAAATCTTTGTGTACCTATTTTATGTATGGTAGTGTGCACCTGTTAATCCCATACTCCTAATTTATCCCTCCCCCCCAAACCACTTGTTTTCAATGCTCTTTTAAAAATAGGCATTCATAACTATATTTGCAGTATTAGAAAAAAAGCTTGCATAGTGCTTCCTTCGCCTACTTTTTATTGAGATATAGTTCATATACCATACAATTCACCCATTTAAAGTGTAAAATTCAATGGTTTTTAATATATTCACACATACGCGCAACTATCACCACAGTTAATCTTAGAACACTTTCATCACCACAAAAAGCAACTCTGTACCCTTTAGCTACTACACCCCCTCTCCTTTTACATATTTAATCATGTGAAGATAAAAGTTAAACAGAAAGATCTAAGTTTTAAGAGTTAAATAAGATGAAATGAAACAACTGTCAATATCCTTAACTGGGCGTGATTTACACTCTATTTTTTATATCATTCTGAGTTCTATATTTTCACCCACCATTTCTGATAGTTTTTCTCATCCTAATACTCTTAATCCTAATAATTGTTACTACTAATAAAAATGTAATATCCTCATTTATTGATGCATTATAATGTCCAGCATTTCATCCAGCAGTGAGCATTTGGTCTTTTGTTTTTAGGTATTATAACTCAATTACAAACTTCTTACAAAAATTAGAAGTTTAAAAAATTATTTTGATTATAGTGTAATATTACCAATTCAAATGGTTAATCTTTAAGAATCAATGTGTTCTTGAATCTTAAGAATTTTACAGGTAAACAAAGCAATTTTTCTTTTACACTTTAGGATATTCCATTATCTTTTAAAAACTGTTCTCAGTAATAAATGTGATCTTTTTTTATTTCAAGAGTTTATACCTCTGACTATAATTGTTTAATACAACTATTTTCCTAAAATACTCCCTCAGGACATCAATAAGTCTCATTATATTTCCTAATGTCTTCTTGTGGGCAGTATTTTCTATTACTGAACTCCCATTGGTATTGTATTTCAACAGTTACAATTTGATTACTACTATAAAAACCAAAATATTTCAGAATTAGAATATACTTAAATATGTTTTAGCAGAGAGCAAATATACGGTAGTGTATATTGACCTAAGAAAGGATGTTTCTACCACTCTGGTGAAATCAGAGAGATTAGAGGACTTACCCAATGTCACACATCATTTAGTGGTAAAGCCACCTGACTTTCAATGATAAATGATCTTTACATTTCAGCTTTGTGTTTCACTATCACTTACAAAGTTAGTTATTTCTTAATTACACCAACTCAATTTATAGTGAAAAACAATTAGTACCAATGAAGTTAATAAACATTAACATAAATTTCATGAACAGAGTAGCTTATTAATACATTTCACAGATGGAAACCTTCTCTTTCCCAGAAAACCATATTTGTATGAGCAAAGCACTATACACAGGCTTTTATCTGATGCTCTGGAATTATAGCTATCCTCTACTGAACCAAATTGGAATAGCTTTTCAGCTAAAGAGTGACATCTAGTGACATTTTTCACTAATTACAGTGAAAAAGTTTGCTACTGGAAAGTCATAATTATTAAAGGAGACATTCAAGACCATGCTTTCTGTCAGAAACATTGCCCCAGAACAAACATAAGGGCACACAGATGTGCTATGCCATGTCAGAAAGGGGTAACGTCTTACTAGAAGTTACTTTTTATAAGTTGTGGTTAAATACACATAACATAAATTGTACCTTTTTTTTCTTTTTTGTATTTTGTTTTTAAAATTAACTTTTATTGGAGTATAGTTGATTTACAATGTTGTGTTAGTTTCTGCTGTACAGCAAAGTGAATCAGCGATACGTATACACATATCCCCTCTTTTTTGGATTTCCTTCCCGTTTAGGTCACCACAGAGCACTGAGTAGAGTTCCCTGTGCTATACAGTAGGTTCTCATTAGTTATCTATTTTATACATAGTATCAGTAGTGTATAGATTTCAATCCCAATCTCCCAATTCATCCCACCCCCAAATTTACCATTTTAACCATTTTAGGTGTACAATTCAGTGACATTAAGTACATTCACACATGGTTGTGCAACCATCACCACCATCCAGCTCCAGAACTTTTTTCTTCTTCCAAAACTGAAACTCTGTACCCATTAAACAATAATTCCTCATTCCTACCTTCCTCCACCCGCTGGCAACCACCATTCTACTTTTTGTCTCCATGAATGGACTACTCTGGATACCTCATATAAGTGGAATCATACAGTATTTGTCCTTTTGTGACTAGCTTATTTCACTTAGTATAACTTCTTCAAGTCTCATCTTTGTTGTAGCATGTGTCAAATTTTCCTTCCTTTTTAAGGCTGAATAATAATCCATTGTATGTATAGTGCAGTTTGTTTACGCATTCATTGGTTGATGAACACTTGGGTTGCTTCCACCTTTTGGCTATTTTGAATAATGCTGGTATGAATATGTGTGTATAAATATTTGAGTTTCTGCTTTCAGTTTTTTTAATAATTAATTTATTTTTATTATTTATTGTTTTATTTTTGGCTGCGTTGAGTCTTTGTTGCTGTGCACAGGCTTTCTCTAGTTGCAGCAAGCGGGGGCTACTCTTTGTTGCAGTGCGCAGGCTTCTCATTGCGGTGGCTTCTCTTGTTGTGGAGCATGGGCTCTAGGCACGCGGGCTTCAGTAGTTGTGGCACATGGGCTCAGTAGTTGTGGCTTGTGGGCTCTAGAGTGCAGGCTCAGTAGTTGTGGCGCACAGGCTTAGTTGCTCCGCGGCACCTTTCAGTTCTTTTGGGCACATACCCAAAAGTGGAATTGCTGGATCATATGCTAATTTTATTTTTAACTTTTTGAGGAACCTCCATACTGTTTCCCATAGTGGCTGCACCATTTTACATTCCAACCAACAGTGCACAAGGGTCCCAATTTCTCCAGATCCTTGCCAATACTTGTTATTTACTTTTTTAAAAATATAAATTTATTTATTTATTTTTTGCTGCGTTGGGTCTTCGTTGCTGCGTGTGGGCTTTCTCTAGTTGTGGCGAGCGGGGGCTACTCATCGTTGTGTTGTATAGGCTTCTCATTGAGGTGGCTTCTCTCCTTGCGGAGCATGAGCTCTAGGTGCATGGGCTTCAGTAGTTGTGGCACGCGGGCTCAGTAGTTGTGGCTCGTGGGCTCTAGGGCACAGGCTTAATAGTTGTGGCGCATGGGCTTAGTTGCTCCACGGCATGTGGGATCTTCCCGGACTAGGGCTTGAACCCATGTCCCCTGCATTGGCAGGTGGATTCTTAACCACTGTGCCACCAGGGAAGCCCGTTATTTACTTTTTTTGTTTGCTCTCTTACGTGCGTGCGTGCGTGTGTGTGTGTGTGTGTGTGTGTGTGTGTGTGTGTTGTGTGTGTGTGTTTTATAATAGCCACCCTACTGGGTATAGTTTTTTTTTTTTATCTGTGTTGGGTCTTTGTTGCCGTGTGCGGGCTTTCTCTAGTTGCAGCGAACAGGGGCTACTCGTCGTTGCAGTGCGCAGACTTCTCATTGTGGTGGCTTCTCTTGTTGCGGAGCACAGGCTGTAGGTATGCAGGCTTCAGTAGCTGTGGCACGCAGGCTCAGCAGTTGTGGTTCGCAGGCTCTAGAGCGCAGGCTCAGTAGTTGTGGCTCACGGGCTCTACAGCGCAGGTTCAGTAGTTGTGGCGCACGGGCTTAGTTGCTCTGCGGCATGTGGGATCTTCCCGGACCAGGGCTCGCACCCTTTCTGGTGACAAAAAAAAAAAAATAATAGCTACAATTTATTTAGCACTTAGTATTTCTTAAGTGTATCATGTATCAACTCATTTGCTCCTTACAACAACTTTACAAAGTACAGGTTCATGATCCATTATTTACAATTCTGGAATTGAAAAAGGTCTGAATATGATACTTAAAAAAAATTCATCTGGCAGCAAAACCTGACCTAAACTGCCATGCATCTATTTAGAGTCTCTTATTTAGTCCTCTTAGTATGGTTATTCATATGTTTTGCTGCAGAACTATAAAT